CGGTAATTTGCATCGGCACGATTGCGTGGAAACGATGAAACGCCCGTATCGCGCAGCGTCAACTTCAGGACAGTGCCCGTTCCGCGTTCTTGTTGCATCCTCCGTGTATCTCTTTCTTACCTACTGATACGAGCACGTCAGAAGAGCCTTGCGGTGTTCCCCGTGACTGATAAGAGAAGTCGCCCAACTCGAAAATCCATATTCTAATTGCACGCTCGGTCGTGAGTGGAGTATATTGGAGTACACGCGGAACAAGTATTTTTCAGTCATTGATATTTCATTGTATTTCCGGTTTTCAAGGTACGTGCTAATGTGAATGACTCGTTTATTTGAAACTTCGACTCTGTCCCGTGTCGTTTATCTTTTTAGAATTATTTCTGGCCTCTAAACGTTTTTTCTCGATGTTTCGAGTATTAAGACATTTTTAACAAAATATTATCTGTTTTGAAAATAACCGACTTCAGATTATCATACAGTAACGAAGTGTAATTTGGTTACATTTTCCTACACCTGCTTTCGTTTGTATATCTTGCCTCTAATGATTAAAGTGACTTTAAACTGTTAACAAGTTCATAAATCTTTCATGATACCCGTGCGTTGAAGTCATGTTGCAACTTTTCTTGAATTATAGGTTATCGACTTTCGGAATAGCCTTGCATGCTCGAACAACATTTGTCGTTGTTACGTTTATCGCTCCCCGATATTTTGGTTACCCCAGTGAAAAGGAAACGTTAAACTTAGAAGTTAATGCCTCACCAGCAACGCTTCCTTCGATTCTTTAAAGGGGGTCACGTGACCGTTCAAGTGAGAACAGTGATAACCTATAAATAAGTTCGCGGTTGGATGTCACGGTGTCTAAATTGTCTCCCTTAACCGCTCGGAAATATTCTACGGTGAACTATTCCCTCGTGTGAGACGCAGTATTTTCGTAGCTCATAAACGCTCACATGCCATGGATTTTGCAATTTTATTTCCCTTCGACAAAACTCGTGTTGTAAATCCTCTGACTGCCGACCGCGGCCGGACTATTATGTCGTGGAACAATAGTATATCGTATGAGCAGGCGTACACGTTGCATCGGCGTTCTGTCGAACGGTTTCGACGTATTCTGTCGGACGTTCGAGAAAAGTTTGTTCCTCGAAAATATTCATCGGGAAAGTACAGGGTGAGTCATGGAACGTAAAAATTCGAACGCACGATGATTCAATGCTTCTGAGTGTAAAGATTTTTTGTCTAATAAGTATCGATGAAATTGAAAAAAAATGATCCAATATAAATATCCAATTTAATGCAAAGCAGTTAATTTAATTATGCTGTATGTAATTTATTCGAACCGTTAGTAGAAGGAATTGGTTCTTTTTTTCGCAATTTACATGAATACATGGAGTGTAATCATTAGTTGGGAATATTGAAGAAATCATCTTGTGTCGGAGGACCCTTGTTAACGCTGTATTTTTACCACGGAATTCGAGGCGCGGTAGCGTAATCGGCACACCTCGTGCGATTCTCTCTCGTGGCATAGGTACGACACCCATGGCACGTCGATATAAAATAACGATCGGTCTTCATTTGGGATTGGGTGGCTCCGTTTTGGCCGCCTCCGCCAGCTTGTTTGAATGATAATTTATGGTCGGTAATATGTTAGGGAGATCGTACAAGGTTATGCCGTTTCTTTTCTTAATTAATCTTTAATATTGCAGATATTTTTATGTGATACATCTCTGGAGTATATTATAAAAAAGTTTTGTCAAATTTTGTTACTGAGAATTATAAGTAATAGGATGTATATTATATACTAAACTCTATTGAACTTTTATATTTCATAATAAAAAATCGTGATAACGATACTGAATTCTTTTGATAAAAAATGATAAAAAACAGTATATATTATATATTAACACTAAAACTACTGAACAATCAGATTGACTATTTGACATTTATCTATGGAAACTCCAACAGTGCTACTATTGAAATTTCTATGGATTTACAATTAAGTTCGTCTATTGCTGAATCAATTCCAGCAATAATTTCTTAGAGAATTATCTGTTATGTTTTTAATAATTATTAATGAAGCAATCGGAAATGGGTCATTTTGATCTCTCTAGTAGTACTAGCATTAAATTCTACTGAACCTTTCTGTTTCGACCATAATAAAAAATCGCGATAACGATACTGACTTCTTCCGATCAGAAATTCAACAAAGAGAAAACGAGGAGTAAAGAATGAAAAAAGGTAAAAATTAATCGTGCCCCACATGCAGCGCATGAAAGGTTAACTCAATGTAAATCAACTCAAGGCTGTTCGCGTATTGTAAAAATCCTCAAATAACGCGGTAAGCATGAAGGACTAGGGACAGAACATTCCGATCGTGCTTGACGCGCTTGTCTTAAAAACCTTCTAGAGACTGATATATCAGGACACGTGTGTGTGTGTGTGCGTCTCTGCGTCTACTAGATCGCAGGACCTGTTAGCGGCGCGTGGGTGGTGCTTTCTCTTGTAAAAGTATGGATTGAAATGTCATGCCGGTGGCCGGTATTTCGTCCGGTTATTAAAACTGCGCCGTTTGTATTCCGCTCGCTCATTGTGCGCGCCGATGAACCGGTCGAGATAGTGAAAGGGAACAAATAGGCACTAATTTGTACCTTTCGAAACGACGCAGGATAATTGTACACCGAACACGTCCGATTGAATATTCATAGACGCGAACGATACGTTACCACCGCCCTTGCTACCTCCCCTACCCTCTACGCGCGAGCGGAACGCATAATTCGTCATATTCAACCGGCTCGTGTCATCTTTCGTAAATTACACAGTTTCTCGAGCATTGATCTACGGAAGCACTCCAGATTCACAGATTTTTAACCACTCGCGCTGGAAATGAATTCAGACTTGACGGAGTCTCGCGCGATGAATTTTATTTTTACCCGTCTTACGCGGATGTGGACATTAATCTCGTTTGTTAATCATTTTGTGTAAAGTGATGCATTTCGAAACAATCTAATATGCGTAATGTAACAAGATTATCAATGTGTCATCGTTGACCATTTTGAAACGGAAACGTCTCGACGTTCGTGGCACGTCTTTCCAGCGCAAGAGGTTAAATATATTTGTTTTCCATAACTCTAAATGTTAACACGTTGTTGACCGGTAGTTTTACGCGGAAGGTATGCTATGTCACCGGTTATTATTCCGTAATTAAATACGAAAGTGAAACAATCTGAGTAAACTTCAATACATCTTGTACGCAATGAATTGAAATGAAACTTCGGGCATATCTTTTAAATAAATTTTAACATTTCGCTTTTGCGATATTCTACACTGCCCTGCACTTCAAAAATTGAAATAGCCAATGCTAGCGCGAACACGAGTTAACTCGTGACCGGTCAACAATGTGTTAACACGTTGAGCGCCGCACGATTTCATAGGGCAGAGTACACAAAAAGGAAAAAATATATTAAATCATTCGATTGAATTGCATTATTATTGCATCTTGGTCTAACTAAACGTTACTACGTTGGGTAGCGTTATTTATAATACAGAAATGTTTTCAATCGTCGTTTGATTAGTGAACTATAGTAATTCGATTTGGTTGTGGGTCACCGGTGACCCCGTGGCATTCAACGCGTTAAAAATGGTTGCGTTACGAAGCGAGAAAACAAATTGTGCATTATGAAGAAAGCAGGATTGCCTTCGATTGCTGACAGCGACCTAGGGGGTCCCCCTTACGGTCTAGCAACGCGCGCGTCTCATCAAGTCGGATCCACACCGCTAAACTGTTACAGAGAGCGAAGCGTGTTCGAACCGTGATCCACTCGCCGCTGTGGCGGCTTAACGTGGGCAGCGCCGCGTGAACGACGCAACGATGAAAATCAGTGCGCGAGGTGCACGTTCGCGTGGTTGTCACGAAAGGGAAGAGAGGAAAAAAAAAGGAAGCATACGCGAGAGAGAAATATGGGCCAGTGACCGTGACAAGCATCGCGTGTCTACGACCGCAAAAGGCAATTCGTAGCGATAATGGCGCGGCAGATACACGTAACCCAATACAACCCGTGTTACGCAGGACACGAGGCTCGCCTCGATTTTCCTAAAACCTGTTCCGCGCTACTTTTTCTCTATCCCACAGATATTACGTTGACTAAGTTCAATGCCTCGAAAACCACGCTCACTTTTGACGAGCCTTTTATTTCAATTCACGTGACGATGTCGGTACATTGTCATGTTCGAACCCATATTTTGCGTGCCTGTTAAAAATGAATCTTTATAGGCACGTCTTCAGACGTTTCACAGTTGGATCAACTTAACACTTTCGCTACGGTGGGCCTCGCCGCGAAGACCGGAGCGCCGTGCCAAAAGCGGGAACATTAACACTAACTACCGAGTAATTCAATTAGATTTTTTCATTTTCCTGTAGAAACTCCAATATTGTGAATGTTTTGATTTCAACCGATTCATAATTGAGTTTGCGTATTTTTCAATCAATTTCGTTACTCATTTCTCTGAGAAGCATCTGCTCCTTTTCAATAGTTGCTGAGGAAGAATCTAGGAATGGGCCATTTTGACCCGTTTGGTAGTTCTAGTGTTAAACGCGCGCAGTTCTCAGCATTCGGGGCCCTTTTGTCTGAAACGCCGTTGTGACACTGCTTTTAGAAGCAAAATGATTTGTGTCGATAACAACATGTGTATAATTTTTCCATAAACGTATCTCTGTTATCGTTTATATTGTCTTAACCCTTTGCACTCCGGAAGTTTTCACTGAAAACACTCGGACGACGTTTTCCGAAATTGACTTAACGAGAAGTCACAGGCACGTCGAAGAAGAAAACGATTTTCTTTCAATATTTCACGTATTGATGCATTATACGAAGTTCAATATTAAACAACAATCTTCCCAACATTGCTGCGTTAAATCA